GTGCTAGTTAGTGCTATCAGAGAAGTGATGGCTTAAGGAGAAGTTTGCACACTGATCCTTCAATACTTGGCAGTATAGTGTTAGGAGATGTAATGATAATGGCCCCTTTCTTATCAATTGATAAGATTGCCTGTCACCCGTCATTAGTTTCCTATCACTAAAGCTCTATAATTTGGTAGTGCCCCAACACTTTGACTGAACAACAACGGCAACGCTCCTTATCAGCCCATATCAGCTGTTATCACCTCCTGTCACCCGTCGTCGATGTTCTCATCTCCCACTCTATATCATTTTCTGAAATCAACGCCTAGCTGATGCTGTGTCCCGCGTTATAAGTATGGTGACCTTCCCATTCTAACTCCCCTTATCAAATCTTATCAGCTGCTAGCACTTTTGTCACCCACCAATAATAATCGTATGCCATAGCCTACACCATACCTTGGAACTAACGTCCTACTCATGCTGTGACCCGCGCTGGACTCGGTGCCCCTCCCCTTCTGACGCCTCTTATCAGATCTTATCAACTGATATCACTCCCTGCCACCCACCAATCACGTTCCTGTCCCATACCCTATATCGTACCTCGGAACTAACGTCCTGCTATTGCTGTCACCCGCGTTATGAATATGGTGACCTCCCCCTTCTAAAGCTTCACTTCCTGTCACCCACCAATAGTGTTCCCGTCACACCGCCTACATCACTTCTTGAAATCAATGTCTCACTGCTACTGGGACCTGAATTTCGTGACACACAGACAGACGCACACACAAACATACACACACAGAGACAGACATACTTAGTGAATTATATAGAGAGGATTATTACAGCAAAACTTTGGCTTCGGTGCAATGTTACATGGACTGATGGCTTTTTTTACCTTACATTTCTTTGCCTGTGTGTCATCTCTATTGTTACTCTGTGAAACTCCATGTTCGCCTTTCTTGTAACCTGGGCATTTGGTACTTATAGTTCTAATAACTTCTTTCTTATGCCAAACAGGTTTGTATGGTGGAATACTTTATTTACGCCTGACGTTTCGACAATCTCGTCGTTTTCAAAGGCCTGGAAGCATATCGAAACCTTGCAAAATATCTATCCTATTCAACATGGGTCCGCTCTTAACTAGTTGCTAATTGGACCAAGGAACTAAAGGAACGAAGGAAACTCCAGCAATAAGTTACCTCGTCAACTCCACCAGTGCCGTACTGCTCAACTTCTCGTCACACAATGGAGCAAATGAGACTCACTGCTATGCACTTCCATAG